CCCAGCTGGGAGGGATCCTGGGGGAGCTCCAGGTGGACCTTGGACATCCCTCCATGACCTGGAGGGCTGCAGGCACGACCAAGGAAGCTCAGCATGAGAGGTGGTGGTGGGGGTGGCTGATGTGTCGTAACCGCAATTGAGGAAGCAGAAGCACGGCGTAAAGCCAAGCTGGGGGGGGTGCAATCCCTGACTGCTGCACTCCCAGAAGGACTGGGCTACCACTCCTCGTGCCAAAGGGCCACCCAAGCCCTGTGGGCAGTGGGGCACGCACAGGTGGGCTATGACCTGGTGGTCCGTGGTGTGGATGCTGTACTCTCCGTAGGAGCCGATGACTCCTGCCACTCCCACCACGAGAACGGGCAAACCTGGAAGAAGGGAGACACACAGAATCACAGAATTGTTTAGGTTGGAAAGGACCTCTAAGATCATCGAGCACAACCGTTATTCTAGCACGTTCACCACCAAAGCATGTCCCCAAGAGCCACATCCACGCATCTTTTGAACGCTTCCAGGGATGGTGACTCCACCATTGCCCAGGGCAGCCTGTTCCAGTACCTGACCACCCTTTCAATGCAGAAATTTTCCTTAATATCCAATCTAAACCTCTTACTGCCCCCCTCTCCCCCAGGCTGGTGGTGCTCACCCCAGCCAAGCAGGCACAGCTTCGCCAGGTAGTGGTGGATGTAGACACCAAGGACCTTGATGAAGAGGAGGTAGAGCTGACAGCCCTCCAGCGCCGTCCAGGTGAAGCAGCAGAGCAGGCAGTAGTGGGTGAGCCCTCCCAGGACCTTACAGGTTGCTGGCTGGGTCCTCCCAGAGAGCCCACTGTTGAGCAGGAAGGCCAGGTTGAGGAGGAACAGGCTGCCCACGAGGTTCACGTGCAGCCCCAGGTTGATGCGGCGGGTCTCGTCAAACCTGAACCTGCACCTGAGTGTTCCCAGAGGGACCAGGAAAGGAAGAGGTCACGGGTGAGCAGGGCCTCCTGCTGCACCACAGCAGGTCCAAGTAGAGGCACCAGAATGGCCCCACATCTCTCACAGCTTGACAAGTCCCCATGGAGCTGCTGGCACATCCTACCTCACGAAGATGCAGAAGGCGATGGTGAAGATGGAAAAAGCCATGGCTACCCCACAGCCAGCGGTGGCAACAGCCATCAAGGCTTGTGCTGTGGAGTTGTCCAGAGCTGGGTTCTGCCAAACATGCACGTGTTGGGTTAGACAGGCCCCAGACCAGCCTAGAAAACCCAGCTGCAGCTACCAGAGCCACAGGGCTGATAAACATGGTGGGCTGCTGCAGAGACCCCATAAACATCCTCAGTCTGGACAGCAAAAGGTCTTTGGGGGGAGAAAGGCAGTGGTGGCTCAGAGGAGATGCTCCCCAAGGTGGGGTGAGGAGTGGGAGAAATGGACCACCTTGACCACCCTCCTGGGAGACTTCACCAGGATATGGGACATCAAACCTTGCTACTCCAGAGCCTACATTAGGCTGGGGCATTTTTCAGGCTGTCCTGCTCTGCTAACCTGCTGCTGCCCTCCTGATCTGGGGCTGGGCTTGTATTTGGGACCTGGGCTTGCCTGGAAAAAGCTACAACTATCCTTGTATGGCTGCTCATGACACCAGAGGGAACATCAAAATGGGCAGGCAGCACTGTCAGGGCATGAGCAGGAGCTGTGGGGAGTGGGATCATCACCAGGAGGAGGGTGAAGAAGGTGAGGTGGTCACAGGAGCAGACTGTCTTCTTGTCCCCAGGCTGTGTGACACATCCACTGCTGCGCCAGCCTCCTACCTGCCCTGCAAGGGGCAAGGAGTGACCACGGAGAGCTCCAGGCACAGCCCCTGTGCCCGGCCCCGCCGGGTACTGCACCTTTGCTGGGATCCCAGAAGACGCACTTCGGGGTGACGCCCTGCCAAGAGGGACAGCGGCATCAGCTGGTGCCACAGTGAGGGGCACTGGAGAAGGGATGGAGGGTGGGCAGGGCTGGCTTACAGGGGACAGCTGGCTGTGGGTGAAGGTGAGCTGCACGGGGTCCCGCAGCCCGGAGATGCTGGTGTTCCCCACTGTGATGCCCACCACGGTGTTGTCCAGGACCTGTCCTGCCTGGTTGACCTCCTGCATGGGGGGAACATTGCCTGAGCCCAGCTGGTGTGTAGCGAGCGCAGGTGGCAGCATAAAGGATGCCAGCAATGCCAGCTCATACCTTGAACATGCCAAGCTGCTGGATGTTGAGGACCGTCACCACCACATGCACTACCTGGCTACTCAGAGACCGAAATATCTCCCTGGGGAGACGGATTTTTCCTGCCTTCCTCTCCTCTGTGGTGTTCAGCATGCTGGGGCCCTGCGGGGGAGAAGGACAGGGAGAGGTTGTTGCTGGCAGGTCACTTCTCTGCTTGGGACCCACCAGCCTCGCTCCAAATTCAGCCAAATTCAGCCCCGCCTGGGTGGGTTTGCTCAGAAACATCAGCAGGAGCCCTGAGGGCAGAAGGAGAGAAACTCATCCCCAGCAGCTATGGAGGCAGAGGTGGGAGTGGGACCCACAAGGTCCTCAACCCGCGTGTGGGACATCCAGAGCTGGGAGAGCCTGTGGGTGGGCAGGAGGCCCAAGGTCACACACATTCCTCCTCCTTTCCTACCTTGCTCTCCCCCTGACCACCCCTGCGTGCTGGGACGGCTCTCAGGGAGGGCTCTTTCCTCCCAGGCACCATTTCTCACGACTCCTCGCCAAGGGATGTTAAAGTTGACGTGGGTCCGTGATGCAACCCCAGAACAGGGTGGAGGAAGAGCACAGCAGGGCACACCACACCCCAGGGTGGGTGCTTGGAAGAGGGACACCTGGAAAGCGTGCGACCTTCCAAGCGAGGGAGAGGGAAGGGCACACATCTCACCGCCGTGGGGGAAAAGGTGATGAGAACATCACGGGCGACAGCCCTGCTGACATTGAGGAGCAGCTTCTTGAGCCCGACCAGCTGACTGTGCAGCCCCTGCGCCACCCTGCAGGACAGGGAGGAGGGGGCTGTGGGGTGGGACTGGTGGATGCAAGGGGCTGAGCCCCCAGACCCTGCCACGGCCAGCCCTGCTGCTACCTGAACCAGCGATCCCGCAGGCAGGCACAAGCGGAGCTGTGAGAGCGGCCCAGCTCCGGGCAGCGCCGCGGCAGCCGGAGGATGCGAAACCCGCCGTCCCGTTTCCCCGGCTCCACCGTCACGTTGCAGCACGAGAAGGATTCGTCACCCCGACCCAGAGCTGGGGAGGGTGGCAGCAGGGTGAGCACCAGGCAACCACGGCGTTGGGTGGACGCTGGGCCGAGGGTAGGGAGGGGGGCCACCACTCACCAGAACAGCGCTCCTTTCCCCTGGTAACAACTGGAAGAGGAGTCCGTTAAGAAATGGAGGGAAAAGCCCAAAATCCAGGGTCAGTCCTCCCCTTGCCCACTAGGGGAGGGGAGGCAGAAGAATCTGGCGGCTACCAGGTTTGAGAGGAACAGCTCTGCAGTTTCATGGGCTTCAAAAACACCCGGACAGCCATCGGGGCTGGTGAGGACAAAGCCACTGTGTCCAACCCCCCCCAGGAGGGCTTGCAGAGGAGACCCTGGGCTTCTGGTTCCAGATTTTAAAAAAAATGCCCCAGCAGCAACCCCCACCCCAACTCCACTTGCCTCTGCCAGTTCTGCACATCTCAGCAGGGATGATCCTTCTGGCCCATCCACTTTTCAGGGTGAAACACCCCACTGTGGTCTTTGGGTGAACACTTTCCCGCGGGAAACCTTCCCCCTAAGCCCATGGCACTCCCACATCGAGGATGTCTATCCCTCCCTCACCCACCACTCACCAGGCAGCATCAGGAACAGCAGGATGGTGCCCAGGAACAGGTTCATGCTGCTTTGTGGGGTCTCCTGACCACCCCTGGCTGTCCCACCTCACCCAGGTCCCCTCGTCCCAGCAGCTCAGCTCCTCCCCAGGCTGCGCTTGCAGCCACTCCTGAGGCAATGGGCCGTGTCTTCATTTCCTTTCTGAGAACCCCTCACGCCTTCCTGTGGGCTAGCAAGGCTCACAAGGCTCCTACCCCGGCTCACAGCAACGGTGACAGCTGTCAGAGCTGCAGCGTTTCCCTCTTGGCTCCTTCTGCTCACCGACGTGGGGCTTTTCGCTTTCCCTTTCTCTCCCCAGTCCTGCCAAGGGGTCAGTGGCCCCCACCAGCACAGTGACATGCTGGAGCCTTCCCCTCCTAAACTGGGCATCACCACAAGCTGCTGGGATGAAGCATCCCCTTCCTGGGAAGGTGTCCCCATCCCAGGTGGGTGCTGGAAGCCGGCTGGAGGGGGATGAGCTGCAGCCAGAGCCCCCTCTGGAAGGGGAAATGGGGGAACAGGGGATGTGGTGCTGCAAGTAGTGCAGCCAAGTTCTGCCTGGCCCCACAGCCACTAAGGGAGGCAACTCCCTTCCTGTGAAGTCTCCCTCTTTGGATCTCTGTCCTCCACCAGCCTCCCTTTCTGCTGGGTACTGATGGTCCCTGAATTCCCAAAGCCATTGGCATCTCCCTCCCTCACCCCAACCCCTATGGCACCAGGCAGGCAGTGCTCTGCCAGGAGCAAAATCACCTGTCCCAGCTCAGAAGGATCCTACAGGCTGAAATTGCTGAGCCTTGGGGATGGGACAACCCCATCTGAGGGATAGATCCCACTGGAGAGCCCACCAATGCACCCAGCAGAGACCCCAGCAAGCCACACTCTGAGAGGAACAACTTTAATGGGCACGAGTCTGGTGTGCAGGCATGCTCACTAAACTCCTACACCATCCAAAAATAGATATTCAACAAAATAACAAAAATAGATTATTCCAGCTGCCAGAGGGTGTGGCGGGGGCAGAGTCATTCTATCTTCCCTGGGGAAGGACCCTCACGCTGACCACCAGCAAGGGCTGAAGACAGGACCTTTCCCACCATCACCCCTGCTCTCAGGGCATGGTAGAGGATGCCTGGAGGCACTGGGGACCCTGCCCCTTCCACTTTTTGCAGCCCCCACTGCCCAGGCAAATATTCCCTCCCTCCTTTCTGCCCCAAAGGTGCCAAGCCAGTCAGGATGCGGTGGGTGGGAAAACTGGGGAGGGGGCTGGCAGAGGAGAGGGGCGGCTGGTCCCGCTGCAGGTCCCTGGGCTCCTCACAGCCCTATGGGGTGGGTACAGTAGCAAAGCAGATGGAGCCAGTCCTTCCCGTGGCCGTCCTCGGCGCAGGGAGCCCCGGCATGGCACGGCCACAGCGGGGCTCAGCCGATGTGGCTGCTGTTGGGCTGCAGCTTGACACTGTCAGAGCTGCACTGCGAGTCAGGGGACTTCCTCGCCTGCAGCACCATAGTCCAGTACCAGAGGAAGATGAGGAAGCCTGTGAGAGGGGAGAGGAAGGGTGGGTGAGCACCCACGAGGCACCGACAGCAGCTGAGGGCGAGCCAGCCGGCCTGCCAGAGCTCCTCTCACACCCCATGAAAGCCCCAGTGTCCCAGGCTCACCTTGGAGGGAGTTGATGATGGTGAAGATGTAGAGGGAGACAAGGCAGAAGACGCCAGAGGTGAAGGAGAAGAAGATCAGTGCCCAGGGAATGCCCAGCAGGATGCTCAGCCCCAAGAGGGCCAGGACATGCTTGAGCTTGTGGCCTTTCTTGTTCTGCCGGAGGATCTCCCGGACCATGGCCCCCAGCATGACCGAGTTGAAGAGGAACACCAGGCTGAAGAAACCCAGGTTCACGATGTTATGGATCAGGGGGCTGGTGATCCAGCAGCTGGAGGGAGGAGAAAGGGCAGAGGGTTACACTGTGTCACCACACAGGGACATGAGCTGGGAGGGGCTGGAGGGAGCACGAAGGTGTGGTACCAAACCGCTGCCCCACCACACCCTGGCACAGAGCCCCAGAAAGGCCACAAAGGGGGCCAAGGAGAGTCTGCAGGACACGCTGAAGGTTCAGCCAGCTGACTTTACCTCTGACCAGAAACCAGGCAACCCATTTCCCACGACTTACATGGTTGCGTTGGTGGATTTGCCACCAATGGACTCATAGACCGGGACGGAGAAGGGGCCGTAGTTGGTCCAGTTGGCCAGGAAGATCAGCATCACACAGAGGAAGGGGAATCCTGGGTGGCAAGAACAGAGTGAAGTGGCTGCCCTAGTCCCTGGCTTTTGGACCTTCTGGGAGGATTTGCTTCCCCTTTCTCCCCGTGTAGAGTACAAACCAACATCCTCTCCCCCAACAGGGCACCGAGGACAGAGCAGGAAACAAAGATGCCTGGCTTAAGCCCTGGCCTGGGAGTGGGCTTTGCTGTGCTGACCCCAACCAGGGGTCCACCAGGGACGTGGAACTTTAGCCCCCAAAAGGTCATGAGATCTTCCTACCACAGCTCCCTGCCCAAAGCATGGCAGAGATGTGTGGGTGCTTCCTGCCTCCAGCCCATCAATCTGGGCTGTCGTGGATGTTCCTTTCAGAAAGAGAGGATCCCATTACTATTTAAGGACCCCAAGTGGTGGCTCTCACATGTCTCCCTTGCTGGGTGGCCCCTAGGGTGACCCACCCTTGCTCTAGCACCAGCTTCTGCTCTCAGCCATTGAGTCTCCTTCTCCACCCCTCTGCTTCCAGACATCTGCTCCTGCACAGCTTCGTCTCCATCCCCATCCAGGCATCCCATTCCCCAGTGCCCCTCCACCCTGTGCCCTCGGGCCGTCCCTGCCTGCCCCGTGCTCACCCCAGCCCACCAGGCAGAGCTTGAGGAGGAAGTGGTCATGGTAGGCGTTGAACACTTCGATCACGAGCCGGTAGAGGTTGTAGCCCTCGATGCCCATCCAGGTGAGGCAGCTCAGGAGGGAGAAGTGCAGAAAGAGCCCCCCAGCTCTGCAGATCGCCTCGCTGCCGCTGGAGGCCAAGTGCTCGGAGATGAGGAAGGTCATATCCAGCAGGAAGATGGCGCCCAGCAGGTTCATGTGGATGTGCATGCTCGTGATCTGGTCTCGCTGTTTGCTTCTGGAGAACAGGAGGGAGCAGACCTCACCACCACGCCTGGCCTGGCCCTCGGTGCCCCACAGCACCCCACAGCTTCCTCATGGGTCCTTGAAAAGATCCTTGCAGGCTTCTGCTTGCTGGATCCATAACAACAACCAAGCAGATTTTCCAAAATCACTGAAAGGAGAGGTGTTCCCGAGCACCCTGCAGGAGGCCTGACCAAGGGAGTGGTTTCTGGAGAGGAGAACTCTGCTTTCTTCAAGCCTGGCTCCTTCCTCATGCTTCTAGCCAGGCCACCAACTGCACTTGGAGAGCTTGTGCCCTGCCAGGGGTTCATGGCAAGGGACAGGACACAGACAGGGAGCGTGGGGTGAACCATCAGACTGTACCTGAAGTAGAGGAAGACGATGGTGCAAATGGAGGCCAAAGCTGAGATCAGGCAGCCGATGTAGGTTATGATGCTCAGGTAGTGCCTGTGCACATGGGTGATCTCTGGGGAGGATACCTGAGGAGAAGGAGGAATGAGAGATGGTGAGGAAGAAAAGCCAGGGGGAACAACGTGGAGAGCTGTGGGAAGGTGCTACCCACCATCAGCACGGCAAAGTAGGTGAGGTGGTTGCACCTGCACTCGGTCTGGCTGCTCCCTGTCACTGTGGCACAGCCATAGCTGTCCCAGCTCCCAGAACTGGCTGCACAAGAGAAAGGGAGAGTGTCTGGTGAGCAGCAGGAACATCTGCCTCGGGTTCATGGATCTTTAGGGCAAGGAAAGAGGCAGGACAAGAGCGAGGGGTCCCAGCTCGTCCCAGGCCACGCACACGTATTCGGATAGCCCACTACCCCACTCAGCACCAGAACCCATTCCTAGGGAAGGGGAAAGCACTTAGGTTAGCTGTGGAGGGAAAAACCTGACATCAACCCTGTGGGAATGGTTTATGGAGCTGGAGCAAGGAAGGGAGGTGCAGAGCAACCTTCACTCCTACCAGCAGGGCTGTAGTACCTTCCAAAAGGGGCAAAGGCAGCACCTGGCTTCACACCCAAGGGCAGGGGCACTCACCAGTGATGTCCTCCTGCCAGAAGACACACAGTGGGGTCATGTTCCTCTGCAATGACAAAACCACAGGCCCTGGTCAGGGTGCAGTTGTGGGTTTGTTGCCCACCCAGCACATCTGATAGGGGAGAACATGGGGCAGGAGGCAAGATGATCTCAGGAGAAAGAACAACCCCTATGATATGAGAAGGCTCCAGACAGCTGATGGAGCAGATACCTCCTTCCAGGTCCCCTTTTCCAAGAAAGGGGTTCAGCTTTGAGCAGGCACCTCACAGGGCCATGAATGAGTGAAAGGATTGTTAACTGAGAGTGTTTCCCAGCCTTGGACACTGTGATGGAGGTGGGACATCTGCCATGCAGCATTTCCTGGGCAGGTAGAGGCAGTGCCACCCCCAGTGCACACAGCGAGGCCCTAAAAGACACAGCAGACCCTGCACAGGCAGGCCAAGGGCATGGACCTGCTGGATTGTGACCACTCTCTAGGCTGGCAGGGCCTGAGCCCTCCTTGCCCCTCCACTCCTGGAGGGATCAGATTCAACGAAGCTGTGCCCCCACCTACCGGCAACTGGTCATGGAAGAAAGTGAGGACCACTGGGTCAGAGAGGTTGGCTACCACTGTGTCCACCAGGGAGATGCTGACTACCTTGTCACCCAGGACGTGGCTGCTGTTTTCATCCTGTTGGAGAAAAAGGGGAGGCAGTGGCAGTGTGGGAAGGGAAAGCTGCTGGGTGTGAAAGTCCCCAGGAAGGAGGTCCCAGGACTCTTTCCACATCAAGTTTCCCTTTACCACCAGACACTCCACCATGCCATGTGTGTGGGCATTACCTGGAACATGGTTTGGTTGTTGATGTCCATGAGGAGCACCCTGTGCTCCGCCACCTCCTCCCTGTCCTTCACCATCATGAACAGGCTGCTTGGCAGGTCCACTGTGAACCCGTGGACCTCTCCACCCTCCTGCAAGGAAAGACTCGTCAGGAGGGAGTTTGGGAGGTGAAGCAACTGGCCATGAGCACCAGGGCAAGCTTTCCAGGACCCACCTCTCTCTGGGAAGCAAAGGCCAGGTGCTGAGGATCCTCAGTGGGCTGGACCCTCAGGACAGTCACATGCACCGTGGCCTTCCCGAAGGTCTGGTTCTGCCCTTCGAGCTCCACCTTGGCCAGGGTCCTCTCCAGCTCCCCGAGTTTGCTGTCAGGGAAGGGGTGCAGTGAGCAGGGTGCAGTGGACACGTGCTGGCAGCAGCAGGAATGATGTGAGCCGGGAACTCACCGCCGGAGCGTCTGCTGCTCCGTGGCTCCCGGGGCTGGTGCCGGGGGCTGGGCAATGAGGCTGTCCAGGGCACTGAGCTGCTCCTCCACATCTTGCTCCCAGACAGGCATGCTCTCTGGAGAGGCTGATGGAAAGGAAATGCCGTGAAATGCATCAGCAGGAATGGCTTCCTCGTGCCCCAAACCGACCTGAGGGCAGCAGAAAGCAGATGCGGCTTCAAGCTGGCCCCAAGCTGGGGAAGCTGATGGCAACCCAAACCCAGAGAGCTTTCCTGCCACCTACAGTTTGGTTCCCACCGAGTCCACTGGGACTGGGGTGGTGGAGACAGAACCCTGAGGGGCCACTGCAAGGACCACAGTTTCTCAGGATTTTAGGGAGCAAAGCACTTCTGAAAATCTCCACCTCCATCTTTAGGGATCCCAGGAACCAGGCCTATCTTTGGGCTGCTTCGAGCAAACCTACATCCCCTTCCATCACCCTTCAGCTGTCTTCACATCACCAGGCTAAACCATACGCTGGGACACCAGCAATGCTCTGCTGATGGCTACAGAATGGGCTGGAGATGAAACAAACCTTTCATTTCCTTAAAATAGCATTGAATTGCCTTTACCAGGGAAGAAGTATTCAGCGCTAGCATCGAGGGAGGTGTTCTTCCCATCCTTTGAGATGTAGGACACATTGAAGATGACCATGCTGGTTCTCTCAGTCTTCTGACTCTCCTGTCCCTTGGTGATGCTGCTGGATGGGTCCCCACCCAGGAGGATGCTCTGCTTCCCATACACCAACCGCAGGGTCCTGTTGGCCTGGAACCAGTAGACACAGAAGCGGTACCTGCCCAAGGTAGGGGGCAAGCTGTACTTGTAGTAAGAGTTTCTCCTGTTTGGCAAAAAGGGCCTCCTTATTGTCAGTGCCTGGGCCGTGTTCTCGATGGAGATGGTGGCAGGGCCGTGCTCGTAAATGACGGAGCTGCTCTGGGTCTGGTTTCGGTCCCCGCAGAAGTGGAAATCCTCTTCCTTGTGGCCACTGGCTCCCACCCCTGTGTTACACAGGCACACAGAGACTTTGCTTCAGCCACCCCCAGCAAACACTGCATGTGGCACTCCAGGTTCTCCACCCCAGTCATCCCAAGCCTGTCCTGGACCGGCTGCACGACATCAGCCACCTCCCCGATGTCACAGCCACGCTGTGAGGATCTGCCAGGGCCCCGTGGGCAACAGGACCTCCTGTCTTTCAGGGGCACCCTCCCCCATGTGCCACCACTCACTCTGACAGAGGACCTCTCCATCCCCAGAAGGGAAGGATGGAGATCATCTCCTTTCCCTGGAAAGGACACATCCTGCCCAAGAGACCCATCAGAGGCTTATCAGCCCGTGACATGTTTTACCTCTGTGGAAGCCACAGCTGCAAATGCCCCTTGATGCCCCTCAGCTGTTTTTTTGGGGTTGCCAGTTACTTCCAGCAGCCCAAACCCAGCTCACCATCCCAAGGCAGGACACAGCTGGGGCAGCCTACCTTGGAGGGGGGAGAGAAGGAGCAAAAGGAAGACCTTCATCCCGGGCAGCTTTCTGCTTTGGCTTGGCCTTCAAGGTGACAGCAGAGCCTGGAAGGGTACAAAAGAGAGGGGCGACATGAGTATTTGGGTATCCCCCATGCCCTGGAGAGCAAAGGCTGTGCGGGTGGGACATCAACCGGTGCCACGGCCAGCTCCGTGCTGCCTCTGCCACCAGGAGGAGCCAGGAGCACCAGGCATCCCACCTGGCTGAGGGTTGGAAGGATGGCAGGAAGCTCCCGAGCTCTTGGCACAGAGAGGGTGCCCCACCACCCCAGCACAGGACAACGATCCCGCATGGGAGGGGTTCCCTCTTCCCCTCACTGCTCCACATCTCGGTTCAGGCGTTGCCTTCTTATCACGAGCGATAGGAACAGAAGGAAACTGTGGTTTCCTAGTTTGCCAGTATTTTCTCATGTGCTTTCAGCTCCTGCAGATTAACTGAGGAGCCAGGCACGTTGCAGACCGATCCATCATTTCAGCCTGGCTAAACCAGGCTCTCCCAGGCACATCCTGGTGATGCCAACACAGCAACCATGGCTGCCCAAATTCCTTCTGCCCCTCATGGGCTACATCCTCTGCAACCCCTCTGCCCATCCCTTCACCCAGCACTCTGCCCCACCACCCTTTTCTTTGTCCTTATGTGACCTACACCCGGGCCAGCACTGAGCACCCTTGGGTGCTGCCACACCCCTGCACTCACCCAGCTACAGTCCTTGCACCCACAGCCTTTCTCATCGCACTTTTCGCCTGCCCCAGGCCACAGACTCCATCTCCAGCACTGCTGGGATGTACCAAGCGGTGTCACCTCGTCCTCGCCCTGCTGTCGCCTCAACAATGGGATGGACCCTGCCCCTCAGGGTGGGACAGCCATCAGTGGGGGGCTTCTGGCCCAGCTGGCCCAGCCAAACGCTCACCAGTGCCCAAAGTGCAGCTGACATTCTGTCTGTCACTGCTGCACCCCGCTCCTGTACCCCTCTCAAACGTCCTCTCAGAACCCACCAAGGGGTGGAGTCCTCTATTGTTTGAGTGGGTGCTGGGGCCCCAACCAGCATCACCTGCAAAGGCTCCTGAGCTCTCCCAGGTGCCCAGGGGTCGTCAGATGGGAGGGCTGGGAGAAAATCACTCGTGTGAAAACTCATTGGCAGCTTTCTCCCCCACCAGCACAGGCTTTGTCTGGAAGTTTCTCCAGCCAGCACAGATCCAGGGCATATCCAGTGTACAGCCCACTCCCTGTCCCTCCCCATCTGCTTCTTGCAGCAGTTCATCACCAGCAGATGGGGGCTTCGGGTTGTTAATTAACCTGCTGCCATGGCTGCAACTGAGTGATGCTAACGAGGTTCCCCAGTGTGGGCTTGGAGGGCATGGCACAGACACGACCTGGCAGCAGTAAATGGACTTGGAAGGGGCTGGCACCCCAGTGCTTTGCCACACACTTGGGAATCATGCACATATATCCAAAAAACACGGATCGGGGGTGGCAAAATGCCACTGGCGATGGAAAACACCTGGATCACTAAAAAGCAACAGAGCAGCACATGAATGCCAACTGTGTTGTGCTGTCAGTGAGCCAGCATGCCAGGAAAGCATCCCCTGGGGAATGCTGAATCCCAGGGAGGCTTCAGTCCATCCCACCGTGCTGGCATCTTTAGGATTGTTTTGGGATGGCGGGAGGAGAGGATCAGCCCCTTTCAGCCGTTACTCAGCTGGGACCAGAAATCCCTGTGGGAAAGTGGGTGGGAGAGCTGGTATTTCCCCTTGGAGCCCTATATGGTCCTGCTCGACCTGACGCCAAATGCTGTTTCCTGAGCTGAACAATAGCGAGAGAAAATCCCCCGAAAATGGTTTTGCAGCGGGAAAAAACGGCTTCCATCCATGCTGGTGATAAGCAGTAGCAAAGGTAGCCGGATGCACCAAGGGATCACGTCAGGGGTGAATCCTGCCTTGTCATCTTCCCATTCCCATGTGGCAGTGGGCAAAATTCCTGGTTTGGCCCCAGAATCAGCTGGATGATGTACAAATGGCAGATGATGTAGCCAGCTTGGAGCAGGCTTCCTCACTGCCAGCACAGAGGGAGGCTCAGCCCTGGGCACCAGGTCGTATCCTCCTATCACCATTAAAAGTACATGCTAGTCTTGGAAAGAAAAGCCAAGGAATTATACTGAGGCCTCTAAACCTGTAGGTAAATAGGGGGGAAGAAAAGACTAAAAAACCCATCAAACCCCTTTGGTGTTTACTACTACCTTACTGCTCTCTGGATGACTTGGCAGTAGGTATTTAAGCTTTCAGAGGTGGCACGTGGCTTTGGATGTGACGTTTTTTCCAAGGAGAAGGGAAGATGCTCTGACTTCTCAAACAAACACCGGAAACGGGGAGATCCAGGGCTTTTATCTGTTTTCCTTCCAGGTCCGTCAGGAAAATGACGCTCTGTTCCTCGAGATGAGCCTGCAGTTCGTCACCTCAGCCTATTACCCAGCGGGGACTCGGGAACACGATGAGCAAACTGTGGCACAGAGAGGCAAGCCACGACAGGCTCAGGGAGATGCAGAACAGCTTTGCACAACCAGCCCACCATGGACAATGAGCCCTAGGGTTGGACCTGTCTGAGGAGGGGGGGACCCCATCGGGGTCCCTCTGCAAAGGGGATGCCTCGTTGTCGGTCATCTGGGTGCTTCACAAAGTGCCCTTGTCCTTGGCCAGTGGTGCGTGTCCGCAGGGGCCATCCCCCCAGTTATTCATGGCATTGGCATGTGATTCCCGTCACCGGTGGGTGGCAGGGGCTGACCCGGCGTGGTTGTTGGTGCCCGAGGAGCCGAGGGGCAGCTGCGGCGGTGCCGTGGTGCCAGCCCGTGCCGCGGGATGGGGTGCAGCAGTTCGGCTTTTCCCTGCGGTGTTACACAGAACACCCAGCACCTTCAAGATGAGTCTTGCCAACAGGATGAAACTAGACCTGATAAAGATTCCCATGGGAGCAGCACAGCTCCCTGCCAGATCTGTCCTTTGCCAGCCATTGGCGGCGGGCCCTTCCCACACAGACGTGGGGAGAACCGATGGGAGGCTGGCACAGGCGCCTGCCTGTGCCTGGGGCTCTTGAGACGGAGCATTTGCTTAAAGCTGGGTCTTAACATTCAAAATTTTTCAAAGGTTTCCATTTCCTAAAAGTCACCATAAACACAAATTTCGCAGCAAACTAACCCAGTGCTTCCTCCCATGGCAGGGTAACACGGCACCCAGCTCAGTGGTGTGCAAAGCCTGCGGCTTCAGCCGCAGTGACACACGCTCTGCGAAGGACCAGGTACACATGTGGTGGTCTGAGGGCTGCTGTGACACGGGGCCGAAGCTGCGCAGGGTGTCCTGCCCCAGCACCCCATGACACCTCGCTGGCCACGAGGGGTACAGCCAGCTGTCCTGCCGGCACGCTCCCACCACTCAGCCTTCTTCTGGAGCAACCTCTGGTCTCCTCCTTCACATAGGCTCTACCTTCCCTTCACCCAAACCAGCCCCCTGGGTTTTAAATGGCTTCCAAAACACCCCGTCCCCTCCTGGGTCTTGTCCCCCTTCATGTGAGCGAGGTCCCCATTGCCTGCCTGTGCCGCAGGTGCCAGGGAAAAGGAGGTGCAGGGCAGGGCAGAGCAGCTCAGGACCACCCCCTATCAAGCTCCCAGGTATTTGGCACAGAAAGTAGCTATCCTGGAGCTTGGTGAGGGCAAAGTTTGCAGCACCCAAGGAGTCAGGTAAGAGATCGTGGGCCCCCCGGGATTCCTGCCAAACCCCAGCTGTCGGGTGAGCTGATGGGAAAGGAGTTGGCGAGTTGGAGCCCTCCTGAAAAACAGGCATTGACAGGCTGCACCCAGCTGGTCCCATGCAGACACTGGCACGCCGGGAGTCACCCAGCCTGCTGCCTGAAAACCCCACAACACTGTCCCTGCAACACCCATGGGTGCCACCACAAGGTGCAGGAATGGCTATTCCCAGGGATCTCCATTCAGGCAACATGCAGTTGCTTGTAAACCTGTTGCTCCACGAATAGCAGCCCCCAGGCCGTGGGATTAAAAGCTGGACTGGAACCAAGTATGCAGCATTTTTAGTCCTTGGCTTAATTCACATGGGAGCTGCGAACCCAGCAAGGGGCACGGCAAACCCCACTCTGGCTGCAGTGTCGGGCTCAAAGGATTTGCCCTCCCATCTCCAAAGCACTCCTGGCTCCCTGCTGGCGGTAGAGCTTGGGGGGGGTTACTGCAGCCCTCAGACCATGAAACGAGCTTTGGCTGCCTTCCCTCCTCAACAGCCATTCGGACTTGCTGCCAGGAGGTTATTCCAGGAGACTTCATTTCAATTCTCCAGCTGGCCTCGCTGGGTTTTGCTGGTCCCTCTGGAGGGGCAGCTCGGGCAGTGGGCAAGGATCACCCCAAGCATCCCTTATCTCTTATCCCACGGGAGCATGCCAGGACCGGCAACAGCAAGCTGGGATGTTGCAGGAGGAATCCCCCCAACAGGCATTTTAGGGAAGGGAGCTCACCCTGTCGAGGCACGCCAGCGGTCCTATGGGATGCTGCACCCTCCGCCAGGAGGGAGGAGGGGAAAGAATGGGGTGCGGTAGTGGTTCCCATAGGGTGGGAAGCAATGGCCACACGCCGGGGCTTCGTGGGGCTCAGTTGTGCCGCCGGCAGCAGCCAGGAACAGCCTGTCCCGGACAGCTCAGGGGGTTTTGTGGCTCCACGGCCCCGGAATCCAGCCTGGCTACGGGGCAGGCGAGTGCGAGCCCCACAAAGCAGGGATGGAGGTTGGTTTCACAGATAACTGGCAGCACCTCGGCCACGAGCAGAGACCCCCCCGGGCCGTGCCCAGCCGGAGGCAGCACAGCCACTGCTGCACCCACATGGAGACCCCTCCGCTCCATCCACTCAGGCTGCTCCCTGCCCGAGCACCCCGGTGCCGCCAGCAGCGCGGAGCCCCCGTTCCCCCAAAGCCGTGCTCAGAGCTGGCGCCCACCCCGCTCACCCCCTGCCCCGCGGTGCCCCCCGCCGCTCTGCCCGTGCCCGGAGCACCGCACCGTCCCCTCCGCTGCCGGTGCCCTCCCGGCCGTGCCTGGCCAGCGCCCCTCACCGCGACCTCTGAGACCCCCCCGGCGAACACCGGGAACGCCTCGATCTTCCCCCGGCTCAGCCGCTCCCCGCTGCCCCCCATACCTGGGCTCGAGGCGGGCTCGGCTCGGCACCGCCCGGCTCCCCACAGCCCGGTTCGGCTCCTCACGGCACCGCTCGGCTCCGCTGGCACGGCTCGGCTCGGCTCTGCTCAGCACCCCTCGGCACCTCGCAGCCCACTCGGCTCAGCGCGGTGCCCCCGTACCAGCGGCCCCGCCCCGTTCCCCCCGACGGGCGGTGACTCAGCGGGGCGGGCCTGGGACTGGTGGCTTCGCACCGACCCCTCCGAGACCCCCCCCGAGTTCTCCGCGGGGGCCGCGGGTCACCGCCCTCGGTCACGGCACCTGCCCGGTTCGGCTCAGCCCGGCTTGGTTCTGCACGGCTCAGCTCAGCTCAGCACCTGGCAGTCCAGCCCGGACGAGACCCTCCTAGGTCGCTGTGGGTGGGGGCTGTGAGACCACCGCCCTTGGTCACAGCACCTGCTCGGCTCGGCTTGTTTCAGCTTGGGAGCACTGGGCTGGGAGAACTGGGCTGGGAGAACCGGGCTAGGAGAACCGGGCTGGGAGAACCGAGCTGGGAGAACCGAGCTGGGAGAACCGGGCTGGGAGAACCGAGCTGGGAGAACCGGGCTGCTTCACCCCTCCCGGCAGGCACCGGCACCACGATGGGCTGGGGGACCTCGGCCGGGCAGGGCTGGGGGTGCCGCGTCCCGCCGCCCTTCAGCTGCGGGCTGGCTGGCGAGCATCCAGCGGCAGGCCGGAGCTGGAGGAGCCGGAGCCAGGCGGCTGCACGCCTGGCTGCCAATGGGATTAAAAAATAACAATTAATGGGAAAGCAGCCGGGACACAGTGTCCCGGTGACCCCTGTCCCGCTCCCCGCAGGGAGCGAGGGAGGCAAGGAGCCGGGCAAGGAGCCCAGGCCCCAGGTGGGGGGTGCAGGGGAGGGTTCCCCCATGGAACCCCATAAAGCAGGTGGGCTGGGAGGTGGATATAGAGCCTGGATGCCACCACCAGTCTCCTGACACGTATCCCAAAGCTGGAGATGGGTACCCTGGGCCTGGTCATCAGGTCTCGGTGGGAGCTGAGGCTGGAAGTGTGGAGGCAGCAATAGGTGCTGTGGGAGTGAGCAAAGCTGCTGCTAAGCAGCGCCTGCATCCAGCCCTTTGTGTGCTCTGGGAAGCAGCCGGGCCGGAGAAAGCCGAGACGCAGGGAGCGGAGGGAGGAGGGCGGCGGGGAGGGCTCCGGGAAGTGCCCTGTGTAAATAGTTGCTCTTGCAGATATTTTTTTCAATGGCTTGAATGAGACTTTTCTTTCTGCAGGGGGAAGGGTGGAAATTACTTCCCTCTCCGGCAGAAAAGGTGATGGACCTTGATCCATCACAACACAGAGACTGTGTTACCAGAGGTGCCATGGCTGCGCTGGGATCCCTGGAACAGGGGGCGTCCTGCACGTTATCATCGTCCCCCAGCTCGATTTAATTTCCACCTCCGAGCCCTGAATTTCCCCAGCTCCCTCAGGACGAGGCTCCCATGGGAAGCAGCTCACGTGGCCGGACCGTGGCTAACGAGGCCGACCACGGCTAACACAGCCGCCTTTGAAGCCCGGCCGTCCCCACGCCTCGGGGAGCTGGGCCGGCTCTGAAAAACACGCTCATGGCAGGCGGGACCATCACTGTGAGCCAAGCCTCCCACTGCGGGTCATCCCGACCAGCTCCTTCGGGAAATGCCATAAATCCACCTCCCCGGGAATAACGCTGCTAAACCTAGCAGTGGCTCCCGCAGGATTAGGCTCTCCTGGAAAGGGGAATTAGGTGCAGACCCCTCGTGCCCTCGAGAAAAGGACTTTTTTCTGCTGTTTATGGAACAAAGAGCCTTTTGTCCGCACTTGACGTTATCAGGAGTTATTTTTAGGTCAACGCCTGCACTTGTTGATGTTGTCGGGATTATCTCTAAGTCGACAGGCCATGCTGTGCCTTCAGAGACGCTGGCTGAGCACAGAGAGGGAGGAAATCCTTGTGTTGTCCCTTGCAAGGGATATTTGCCCTTGGGCACAGGCCAGCGGTGGCGCTCCCTCAGCTTGATAAGCCTTCATCGCTCGAGGTGGGGAATTCCTAAAAACTCTAAAACTTCCTAAGAGTCCTAAAAGCTCCTAAACCCCTTAAATCTCCTAAATATGCTTAAAGTTCCTAAAAGCACCTAAACCCCTTAAAAACTCCTAAAAGCCTTAAAAGTTCCTAAAAGATCCTAAAATCCCTTGAAGTTCCTAAAAGCCCTGAAAATTCATAAAAGCCCCATTAGTCCCTAAATCCCTAAAAGCTCCTAAATATGCTTAAAGTGCCTAAAAGCCCTAGGAGTTCTTAAACCCCTTAAAAGTTCCTGAAACTCGAGAAAGTTCCCAAAAAGCCCTAAAGTTCCTAAAACGCCTTCAATTTTCTAAGAGCCCTAAAAGCTCTGAAAGAACCTTAAAGCTTCCAAAACCTCCCCAAAACTCCTGAACCTTCCTAAAAGCTTCTCAAGGCCCCGGTGCTGGCGGCAGGCAGGCGGGAATGTGCTGGCAGAGTGGTGGGATGGGCAGACTCCAGCAGGAGAGGGCACGTCCCACCAGTCTGCTGCCAGACGAGGGGAGACAAGTGTGGGCAGGGGTGCCCTGGTGCTGTCTGCAGCCGAGGGCTGCGCCAGCTCCACTGCCAAGAGGTGCCAGCCCTGGCCTAGCACACCCAGACCCCCCTCAGAGCCCCTTGGGAGCCCCACAGTGCTCTTGGAAATACCTCAGGTGAGGAGGTGGGTCCCCCTTCTCCTCCCATCCCACGTCGGGGTTTCCTCTGTCGACAACAGCAGCGACTCGGCAGGTGCCAGGGCTGTAAAACCCAACCTTAGGCACAGCAATAAATATCTGGGTTATTTGTTTAGGCTCGGCTTTGCAAATAAACTCCCAGTGATGTCAGGGGAATCTGGGGGAAAATTGGTCCCTGGGGGGGGGTATCTGCACAAGCACCAGGTGAGGATGCTCCCATGAGATGCAGGAACAAGGCTCATCAGCTCCTGGCAGCTGAGTCCCAAAGGCAGATCCCAAAATGGAGCCCAGGTCTGCCTGGAAACTTCCATTTCTAAATAAATTTAGTGTCTTCCCTGGCTGCTTGTTTCCCCAAAGTTTGGAGGATTTGCAATAATTCCACAGCTTTGTCCCTGGGGCCAGGGCTGGTTCCGGAGCCTGAAGGCACCGAGGTGCAGCCAAGCCACCTTTCCCGGGGAAAAAAAAAGGACGGCACAGCACCTCCAGCAGCCGAGCACTGGCCTCCTGCCAGGTAAGGCGCCCAGGAAGTCGAATGGCATCATTTCTCCTTGGGAAGGTTACAGGGACTGGCTCCCCCTCCTGCCCCTGCTGCCGGGAGCTGAGTTAGGCCGGTCCTGGCACCGTGGCACTGGGGTGGTGGGAGGTTTGCTCCCAGCCTGTGGTTCCAGGGGACGTCGGGGAGTGTGGCAGGGTGGGAAAAGTCACCAGCAAAGAGCTCAGCTGCCCGGGGACTAGCGTGTCCCACCAGTCCCCAACAGGCTCAGCTCCCCGGGGACCACCCTGCCCCGCGGGTGCTGTGTTCCCGCTGCCAGGAGGCAACCACCGACTGTTTGTTTTCCAAGCTCCACCGGATACCGGAACAAGGTGCATGTGTTCATGTACCGACACTGGTGCGTGCTCAGGCACCGGCAGCCGGCGGGACTCACACCGCAAACCCCAAAATCTCGAGGTGGGGAGAAGGGGGGCACGGAAAGTACTGGGATGCGACTCTCCCACGCTGGGGGCTCACGGGGGGGGGGGGAAAGCTGGGGCGCTTGGCACCTCACCAAACCCCCCCAGGCTTCTTACTGAATAGCTGAAGTCACCCGGCGGAGCGGTGAGCCACGCACAGCTCATCGCCACGCGGCGAGATGTGAGCCGGGGGCACCGCGGTGCCCGACGGGCTGGAAGGAGGGGGCACACGGCCCCGGCGGGACGGGCTTTGTCCGGGCCGCCGGCGGGAGGAATGGGAACGCGGCAGCGCTGGCTGCTCTTTGTGCATGGAACAAAGAACAACAGCCAGCGGCTTCCTTTACTGCCCAGAAGCGGGAAGGAGCCAGAAAGGGACACGTCACTCGGCAGAGATGGGCAGTGTGTCACCCCGTGAGGCTCCCGGTGGTGTCCAGTCCCCTGCCACCGGAAAGGGCAGCACCAGCAAATGGCCCCTCGCTGGCACACCCTCCAAGCTACGGCCGATGGGGACCGTGCTGTGACCACAGGCGGATTTCCCGTGCTGTGATGCTGCTCTGCATCCTGCCAGGCAGAGCAGGACGTCCAGCCCCAAAATCTCAGGCATCAGGAGAGGCAACACCTCGGGTGCAGTTCCAGGTGAAGCCCGGTGTGTGGGGCTGCACCAGGGGCTCAGGGGTGACTCGCCGCCCCCAACCGATGGATTTAGTCCTTACAGTTTATCCTGGCTATTTATTTTCCATCGGCTGCGTTGCTTAAACTCCGACTGAGTGTCTGGTCACCTTGAGGAACTCTGCTCAGTGTCTGCCTTCCCCAGTGAAAGCGGGGGGAAAGCCGAGTTATCGGTTCTCTTACTCATTTCCAACACTTTCCTCCACGCTGGCACGTCCCCCAACGCCAACACAAAGCCCTGCTTACCCATTTTCCCACCACCCTAGAGCTTCAAGTGCCCTCCATCCCTGCACTGGATTTGGGGCAAGTGGGAGGGCTTTTGGTGAGGAGATGTCGTGGGTGATAACCCAGGGTCGCAAGGACGCCCAGCCGCAGTCCCGCATCGCCACCGACCGGCCCTGCGCGAGCACATTCCCGAGCGGGGACCATTCCCGCGATCCTCGTGCCATCTAGTGGGACCTGCACCAACGACACGGCCGAGCGTGGCCGCCGGTCCGCGGCTCTGCCGGCCCAGGGGGGTCGAGGATGGCAGCGGCGGGACCCCAGCCGCAGTCCCCAGGGGACACAGGAGGTGGAAGGAAATTGCTTCAGGGGAATTTTAGTTTGGACATTAGGAAAAGGCTCTTCACTGAGAAGGCGGTCAGGCACAGGAACAGGCTCCCAGGCTCCCCAGGGAAGTGGTCATGGCATCAAGCCTGCCAGAGTTAAGGATGCTCTTAGTCATATGGTTTGGTTTCAGATTGTCCTACAAGGACCAGGCGGTTGGACCCGATGATCCTTATAGGCCCCTTCCAACTCAAAATAGCCTGTGATTCTGTGATACCACATTTGATGCTATTGCAGAGCCAGAGTCCTCCACGCCACCCCCAGACACCACAACACAGCTCCCC